GCATGTGAGTGTGTGAGCGTGCGAGTGTGTGAGTGCGAGTGTGTGCATGTGAGTGTGTGAGCGTGCGAGTGTGTGAGTGCGAGTGTGTGCATGTGAGTGTGTGAGCGTGCGAGTGTGTGAGTGTGCATGTGAGGGCATGTGTGTGAGCCGGTGCATGCGAGTGTGCATGTGAGCGTGCGAGTGTGTGCATGTGAGTGAGTGAGCGTGCGAGTGTGTGCGTGTGAGCGTGTGAGTGTGTGCATGTGAGTGTGTGTGTGAGCGACTGCATGTGAGTGTGAGCGTATGGTCGAACAAATGATCTGGCTACACAATAGAGATAACAACAGAAATTAATGTAAATTAAATTTCTCACATAATTTATATGTCCTTAGTCCTAAGTTTTTAGTCCTGACAAGCTACAACAGATTGTTCTCTGTTTTTACATGAATCTTTAGTGCTTTTCATACTGTCGCTTTTCGGCACATTGCATGGCAGGGCTCGTGAAATCCGGCGCTGTTGTGTTTTCCAGTCGGGCTACCAATATGTGTCTGAAATAGTGATATAAATCCCTTCCTTGATTTGCGTTGCTCATTCATAGTAGGGGTGAAACCATATGAGTTTAAACTTCTGATATAGGGTTTTCTGAGCGCACACATCTGAAGCACACGCACAGAAAGCGGCTGTCGCAGCATGCGAGCACTAAACTAAGCTCTCATTCACACACAAGCTTACGTTAAAAACACACAAGAGTTACAAAAACAGTGGGTTTTGTCTGTGAAGGTAAACAGCTGGGAAATAAATCGCATGTTTATTTTAGATCTAAACAGTATTCTGTGTTCGGACAAAGACAAAGGCAGAACAGTTAGCATGTTTGGCTCAAACTTTCTCCATGGCATTAGAGCTGCTACACCGTTGTCGCTTGCGAAATCAAATGACGGCGCCGTTGGTGGAAACTTACAGATTAAGGGGCGGTGATATTATAATGAGATCCCTTTGCCACGTCACCAAGGGAGCGAAATCAGACGCACTTGTTTTCTCAGACGCTTGCAGAAAAAGGCATACCAAAGCAAAGTCTTTTTCACGTTTGCTTGGTTGGTAGATGCACCGGAGACCTGATTATAGCACTTACAACCTGGAAAAGTCAGATTTTCATGATATGTCACCTTTCAATAATATGTGTTAAATAATAAAGAACCCTTTTTTTTTTTTTTGCTCATCCGAAAAATGTTACAATCGGTGGCTCAGAATCTGTAATATGATCCGAGTGATCCGTTGACTCTCTTGAGTTATTTGAAGAAAAAATACAGTCACTGAAGTTTTCTTGATCATGCTGATTTGTCCGCAGTGAAGTTCAGCCGATGTCTTTTTTTTTAAATTCGGGCTAGTTAAA